CGTATTCTTACATATGTGCAGCATACACTCTGGCTTAAATTCTTTATCATGATGTGTAAAATCAAGCTGTACCATTCAAAGATGTGTCACTATTTCCACTGACCCAAAGCATCCCGGATGTTTGAAATAATATCTCTAGATCAGCTAACAAGAACTCTGTATACATGCACAATGTCAGCGACTAGAAAACCACAAAGCTTTACATGTTGTTTGTTTCCTATGAGTGTTCTGGCAGGGTTCTGTCTCAGAGGTAATTGCTGAGGTAAGTGGTAATTTCAGAGATAAAGTGACCTACATAAACATCTGCAGGATAGCACCGGCTCTGCAAAAACCCACAGAATGGACCATTTTTAAAGTCAGATATCACATCAATCATATGAAGATGTTCTTTCTCATATGATTTGAAACAGATTTGAGTTTCAGGGGATCACACATATATTTAACAGTGATTTGAACCTCAACAAATCTCTCTTTAATCTATAACAGCTATATTTTGCAAATTATGGAGGTGAATAATGACAGACTCAACAGTGTAACACTGGTTTAAAATGATTTAATTAAATGGCGGCTGCTCTCATTTCCATGAAAGGATTGGAGCTGCTGTGAAGTCAGAAGTGTTGTTGGGCCCATTTCAAGTATGTAGGGTGGCTACATCCAATAAACAGAAGTTGACAGGAGTAATACCTAAATCTGTGACTACTTCCAAAAGAAGTCATGGATTCCTCTAGCATTAATGGTTATCACAAAAGAGGTCTGTGTTCCAGTTTACAATGCAGCGACTGCTTTAAACACGCTTTTATGTTTGGTGTTTTTTTTTTAAAATGTGAGCATTAACCCACAGATAAGTCAGCTCTGTCAGCGCTTTCTCTTTTTTAGTGGGTTATTTTTTTCCCCAATCATTGCTAACCCAGTGTAAGCCACATACCAAGCATCAAACCTAGCAACTAGCTAGTGAATGTCCATCTGTTCATGTCCATCCATCTATTTTCTTCCACTTATCCAATTCAGGGTCATAGGTGGGTGGCTAATGGAGACGGATTTGTCGCAAAGCCCTGCCACGCGGGACAAACGCTAGGAAGAAGAAGAGGTGGGTGGCTAACACAGAGAGGCAGACAACTGCTCATACTAAAAGTAAGTGTTGGGGAGTAACGGAATACATGTACCGGCACTACGTGTTTAAAGTTGATTTATTCTGTTACAGTTACCATTTAAAAGGGTAGTATCCAGAATGCAGTTACTTTGTTGAAACAAAGGGATTACATGGTGGTCTTTTCCTGTTTCACATGTTGGGCCATGCTCCCTCAATTTTTGGTAATTCCATGCCGCTGGAAACCCAAACAAAACACGCATTAAGACGCTCTAATGCCTGTGTCTCAATCTCGCGGCCCATGTCACCCCTACTTGCGGCCTGCATATTGACGTAATGAAATATTTTTTTGAATTATTGTTCAAAAAATTATTTAATATGAAGGCAATAGGCAGAGTGTTACAGGCATAGAGAATGTAGCCTCATGGGCAGTGTAGCCCAGTTGTAAGTAAGCTATTAAGACTTGACTGTACACTGTGTTCGTGTAAAAAGTAAAGCCCGACACGGAGCCCGACGTATTAGCGATGTATTAGCCAGACGTCCCTTTACTACGGTTCAGAGCCGCGGATCTGTTTTATATACACGCGGAATAGTTTTCTATATGACATCGCTGCAAAAAGTGCAGCCTTACCTAATGTCCACCCTACTGTTACTCATCTATATTAAGATTTAAAAATCTAGTTGGTATTGGTATGGCAAGTAACCCTCAGTGATAGTAATAAATCACACAGCAATAGGTTGTAAAAAGCATGATAATATATTAAGTAATCCAGAGTATTCAGAATACGTTACTCTGAGTAACGTAATGGAATACGTTACAAAATACATTTTGGGGCATGTATTCTGTAATCTGTAGTGGAATACATTTCAAAAGTAACCTTCCCAACACTGCTAATATTCACACTGAAAGCCAATTTAGAATCATCAGCTAGCATGCCTATAGATGTGCATATAGCATGCATAGCCTTGCAAGCACATTGACGTTCTTGTGCTGAGGCAGCAGAGCTAACCACTGTGTTGCCCTATGACCGTCGCAGAGAATTTAGCAAGGAAGATAAACTAAAACTAATATGCTGTTAGCGCTCAAACACAGGCTAAAAAGTCGGATCTATCTAACTTGTGTAGCTAATAAAGCTTAATTTAATCCATCTATCTGTAGCTATTCATATATTTAACTGTGGATTTAGCATGGAGGGCTTGATCTTATCCCAGCTGAAAATGGGTAATAAACAGAATACCTGCCGCTCAGGTCATGGTCACACCCACAGCCAATTTAGAAATACCAAGTAAACTGTTACACATGTCTTTGGGTCACTGTAGCAAGCCAGAACACCTGGAGAGAACTCACACAGGCGCAGGAAGAACATAGCAATTAGCAGTTACACAGCTGTGGCAGCCGTGGTATTGGGGGAAACAAGGCTCGTCTTTTTAGGCTTTTCCAAAGAGCTACAAGTTAGCTGGAAATGCTGAGGCGAGACAGCAAAAGAGCTCTGTGTAAATGAGCAGTCAGTAAAATTCTGAGTAAATGAGGTAAATCTGGGATGATGCACTCAACATGTTAAGCGTCTCCACTTCCCGCTCACATTGGACTGTTTTATTGCATTTTGTAGATCAATACAATTATGATCCACAAAGAAACCACAGTTCAGAATCCACAAAGTGCACTCGAGTTCATCACCAGTTAACAGTTTTCAAGTGCACGCTCACAGATGCAAACAGATAACGCTAATCTGTCGAGCAAGTGTTGGTAAGTCTGCCACTGCATATGTGCACTTTGATGTACTGATAGATGCAAATCCAGATTTCTCAATGCGCCATTAAGTTTTGCGATGGCGGAGGAAAGCATTTGTTGCTAACATTAAGACTCAAATCTCATTGAGGTCACACAAAGAACGGCTACATGTGGTAAACGCTAAACACTTTGTACGTTTTTCAGTTTCTGGCGCTTGTATTTCGTGGAATGTAATGACTCAGAAAAACAAACAAACACACAAATATCCTCTCAACATCTTTCAACGTCTCAAAAGACCTGCCCCCACCTACCCGTCATTACTCCCTGTGTTTGGCGCTAATGCATTTTCAAGCTAATACATAATGTAACAGACGCCTTTGTTTTTTTATGCTTGTGCTGAACCACTAAATAGGTTATAGATGAATTATCTTGCCCTTCCATCCCAAAGGCCGTTCAACTGTGAGAATGAGTTTGCCCATTTCCACTGCAGCATCCGCACTCCATTAACTTAGTGTAAACCACGCTCATTGGCAATATACAAAGGAAATGCAGCACAACAGCTGTTGATGATGTTGTTGTGTTTTCCTTCTTTGGGTTAACTAACTATCTCTGCATCTCCTTTCTTTATAGCTAATCGTCATCATCACCCGTGTCAACCCGAGTTCCAACTTGTTGTCAACATGTTCAGACAAAACAGCTGCGCTAAACTCTCCAGTTTACTCGACAGCTGCATAGTAAACGACGTGTTCATTACAAAGCGACTAGACATAAGCTGTCACCTAAAGCAAAGACTTTAAATGTTCCTATTTCCCAACACTTTTCATGCAGTGCCCAGTGACATTAGACACTATGTACACAATATGTTGTTAGAAATTGCTGTGTCAACAAGGTGTCAGACTCGAACAGGTCAGGCAGGCTGATACAGTCATCTGAGGGGGAAATATGAGAAAATAAATAAAGAACAGATGGTGTTTGCATTGCACCAGGAAAGTGTAAAGTGAGTGGAAAATATGGTTTAGGGTGTGTGTTCAGCAGAAGCAGATACTGGCCTATCAGGATAAATCAGTAAGTGGCAGTAAAAAAAATATTAGTAACAAATTTTGGCAAATGAAAGCACAATATTGCCTACAGCGAAGAAGTAAAAAAAGATCACCTTTACAGTGGTTTCCCCCCATGAGCTAAAGTGTTTGTGATGTCACTGAGTTTGATGTGACTGTGCTGCGTAGTTAAAGGGAAAGACCAGCCCCACTTCAACTTGCTTTCAAAGTGAGCCTCTGAAGACGCAGCATCATTCCATTACTGTGGCAACATCTGGTAGATGAAGCAGGCAGTCGGTCTGAGGCAGCATTGTGATTGCGGACGTCAGGCGGGAGTGAAGATTGACATACCATTTTTGAAAACAAGAATTCACCGGTAAGGAGAACATGCCTTAGCTGGAGTTGAATTTGCTGGAATGTGGGTTTTATTTTTGTGATGTTTATACTTTTGCTAACAGCTGTGGGTGACAGAGAAAGCGCTCAGCAGCGTGTAGGCTTATTGTTAGAAGTTACCACTCATTGTCTGAGCGGTGCAAATAATCTATTTGTTAATTTAAAGAGTGCTTTGAGAATGTCTTTCAATCAAAAGTGAAAGAGCAACAGAAAGTCTGTTAACTGAAACTGAATCAACGAGTTTTTAGCTTCACAGTAGTGAATGTGCATTACAGTTACGCTCAGGTGCATGGTGAGTTATGTAACACATATGCACGCTCCTTAATAATTTATCGCCTGCACAATGCTAAATGAAACGATTTGCCCCGTAGTGAAGTGGAGTCTGACAGAATGTGATCCATCTGTTAATAATGAGTCTGTGACAAGTGCTCACAATGAACAGTGTCTCAACATTTCACAAGAACTGCATCTAAAAGAGACATTAGCTTATGAAACCAAAAACAGAAGCTTTACCATGTGACAGGATGGAGGTTGAAAGTGCTTATCTGTTTTCGGTGTTTCTTCCAGAATTGCACGACAGGCTCACAGACTATCTGAGAAATAATCTACCACATTGGGGTTACAGCACTTTACACAGCTCTGCGTTTTTGCTTTCTCATATGCATATTTTTTGGGGGCCTGAACCACTTTCATTTACACATTTTTATGCACGCTCATAATGCGCTTTCCCTCTGTCTCAGCAGCTACACAAATGGAGAATGTGACAGGTGGTTTGCAGGACAACTCCAGTCAGTGCGAGTCCATCGATGACTTCCGTAACCAGGTCTACTCAACAGCATACTCCCTCATCACAGTTCTAGGCCTGGTTGGGAATGGCTTTGCCCTGGTGGTGCTTATCAGAACGTATCGCCAGAGCTCACCCTTTCACGTCTACATGCTGAACCTGGCTGTGTCTGATCTGCTGTGCGTTATGACGCTGCCGCTGCGAGTTCTCTACTATGTCAGAAAGGGAGACTGGCACGAGGGGGACTTTCTCTGTCGTATCAGCTCTTACGCCCTCTATGTAAACCTCTACTGTAGTATTTACTTCATGGCAGCTATGTCTTTCACGCGTTTCTTGGCTATTGTTTTCCCTGTGCAGAACCTGCGGCTGGTGACAGAGAACCGTGCACGCCTTGTTTGTGGTGCTATCTGGGTAGTGATCTGTCTTTTATCTTCACCCTTCCTGATATCTGGCCAGAAGTTTGATCCGATAACGAATAAAACCAAATGCTTCGAGCCACCTCCACCCGGGAAAAGCTTGAAAAAACTAATTGCGCTGAACTATGTGTCGCTGATGGTGGGCTTTGTCCTGCCCTTTCTGGTCATCATACTTTGCTACGCTGGCATAGTCCGAACCCTGCTTTCCCGCACCCATGCTGCCCGCCGTCAGCGGGGCACAGGCACCAGAGCCATCCGGATGATTGTCATTGTCCTGCTGACCTTTCTGGTCAGCTTCATGCCTTACCACGTGCAGCGCACCGTGCACCTGAACTTTCTGTCTCGGGGAGACACTACCCACTGCGAGAACGTTTCCATGCAGAAGTTGGTGGTGGTGACGCTGTGCCTGGCTGCTGCCAACTCCTGTTTTGATCCGCTGCTTTACTTCTTCTCTGGGGAGGGTTTCCGCAGCCGGCTGTCCTCGCTGCGCCAATCCATGAAGGCAAGCACCATGCAACGCACAGACAGGCGAAAGCCCATCACAGCTTCAGAGTCAGGGGAAAACCAACAGCTGAAGACCGGTTAAATGGCACCATGAAGACAAGTTGTCAACAAGAACATTTTATCAGGCTTAGAATGAGTAGCGCTCTCACGCCAACAAAAGACAGAAGTTTAAAAATGTTGACAGTTTTAAGTATTTAAACAGACTGTCTCCAGAGGATCATCCTCACGTAAGTTGATATTTATCATCTCAAAGTATTTGTTAAATATTTAAGTGATGTTATGTATTTTCAGTATAATGTAGCCTGTCGTGATCTAAAGGTTGTGGTGTAAATGCAAATATATATGTTATGTCACTGCATGAATGTATTTATATGATGGTGTAGTAGGCTATGACTTTTTATTGAAGGTTCAAGAAGGTCAAGGTTCGAACTTTGTAACTTGCATATGAAGGGTTAATCTCTGCCTCATGGTGAATACTGTAGAAAGAGCAGTGTGGTAAAGACTGTGGGTATTTATTTTCCTTTATAATTATTCTACTCTATGCTGTCGCTTTTATTTTTCACATTTCTTTGTGGAAACATTACTTTGATTTCTGTTTTTTCAGTACGAGTTATCATCATTTCCTGTCTTAGTTTATGTGTTTTGGTTTACTCTGAGATTTCTACACATTTTAGACATTATTTTTCTTTTCTTTTTTTTTAATGTATGAATAGTAATAAATATTTCACATTTTTACAGGAAGGTTTGTGGATTTAGAGGGTACCTCTAAAGCAATAGTTGACATTTTGGGAGATTGGGGAGAACGTACCCATGTGAAACTGAAGCCACATGACTGGAAGAGGGACTAAATAGCTTGCATGTTGCTCTCCACAGGTAACACATCCACCTACAGGTGTCTGTAAGGCTCACTACTCAGTGCACATATTTAATCCCTCGAATGTTTACAGCTTTGGCTTTATGCTGAATTAAACCTCACTTTCACAAAGCAACATGAGAATGGTGCCACTCTTTTTACTACCTGACATTAGCAAAAATAAGCAACATTTATTACCCAAAATGTCGAACTATTCCTTTAAACACATGGAAATATGTTGCTGTATTCAAGCAAATTTTCAAGCCATGTATAATAACTGCATTAATAAAAGATTCTGTCATAAAAGTCTATTAAATTCCCAGAGCCCTTAGGAGCAGCTACACCCTCTGGCCACTGGGGGTCAACACCAGTACAAATATTGTTAGTTCTTGCGTACAGCTCATTGTCTCCCTTGCCATACTATGTTTTTAGAAAAACAATGAGCCACTGTTTTCATGTCTAGAAACTGTGGAGGTCTTTCACAAATTGAATTTGTGAGAAACATATAAGTCATATGATCATATGTATGGTATGTGAGCATACAACCCCAGTTCCCAAAATAGGTGGGACGCTGGATGATCATCTGGTTTGTGTCCTCTTTTATCGACATTTCTGTTTTTTTGTTTTGTTGATTTTTTTTTGGCTTGTTTGTTTGTTTTGCTGTTGTTGGGTTGTTTTTGTGTGGTTTTGTGTGTGTTTTGTTGGGATTTTTTGGTTTTTTGGAGTGATTTTGAGGGTAAGTAAAGGTTAAGAGCATATTTCATCCTTCCATAAACCCACAACAGCCATAAATGAATTATGCTTCGGGGGTAATTTAGAAATACAAAACAGTGAGAGAAGATGAGACTGATGAGGCTGACCCTGCTGATTAGAACATAGAAGGCCACTGTATTACCGCTTCATACACAGATAATATCAAGCACATGATCGGCTCCCCCCGCCATTGGCACAAAAAGCTGTTTGTCTCAGTCTGGAAAACAGGAGCTATCTATCCCATAACAGTATTAGTGTACCTCACAGCAAGGATGCTAGCTATACAGGAAGCAGAGAAAGTCCCTGCTTGATTCTTACTTGCTTCTAAAGAGGGTATAGATAATTGTGCACTATTCATTGCAGGAAGTCACTCACATAGCTTTATTCAATTCATGCTGCAGATTCATTCCTATTTAATTAATTTAGCTTCATTTATGTATCATACTTATTTCTTGCTCTGCATTGTTTTTCTGGGACAATCATTTCATTCATTAAACTAAGGCTATTTGAGGCCCACCTTACTAAAGACAGTCTTGTCTATGATTGGCCAGCATCTGGAAGCACGGTGAGGGGCAGAAATTGGGGCTTGTAAAAACTGTTTTATTGTTGGAAAGGTTCGAAACCTGTAAACCTGCTAAGTAACATGATTTTCTATTAATATTTTAATTATAATTAATATTTTTCCAGGTTGGACACGCTTAAAAAAAAATCTTGACAGATTTCATCTGTTAAATGTAACAAATATTCCTCTTATTTTTAAGTACATGAAATTGCAATAAAATTAAGACTTATTTTAAAAGCGAACAAAAATTAATAATGATAAAGACCTAAAATAGAATTAACTGTACTTTTAAATAAACATAAAAAAAAATTTTCAAGATAAAATTATATAATATTAAAATACAATTACAAATTTAACATAATATCAGAAAAGGCTATTTTTTAAATAGAAAAAACGGAAAGTATAGTTTGCCATAAATACTTTTTTAAAACTAATTTTACAGATGTTATTCAACCAAAAGAATAAAATTCTGGAAAAGTATCAATAATAGAAAAGTCATGGATCATTTTAAAGATTTGTTTTTAATAAATACACGGATTTGATGACTTTGAGCAATAAATGCCTGTGGAATCATCCATCTTTGATCATTAAAAATATACTAAATCTAAAAGATGACTTTAGAGATAACTCATTAAACTTCTATGATTAAAATATTAATTATTATGTAACACTAAAAATATCTAAATATTTTGTAATTTCTTAGTCTTTTTGTAAAAAAAAAAAATTTAATCAGGAGCATTCGGGAACAATCACATTTTGTATTTAAACTTTGAACAGAAACACAGTGTGTAGAGAGACTCTTCAGTTTTATTTATATATGCTAAAACACAGCAAAAGTTGCCTCAGCATGCTTTATATTGTAAGGTAAAGATCCTACAATAACACACAGATATATCAACAGAAGTTAAATTTCAGAGGACGCAGGAAATGAACTGACCTGACATGTTGAGGCAGTTAAAGATTCGTGGACATTTACAGAGCGACACTGTGGAATTTTAAACTTTTTGCAGCTAATGAAGAAAATGGGCCGTTCAAAGCCAGCAATGAGCACGATGCATCTGCAACTCAAGCTCCAGCCTGGCAGTAAATATCCATGAGCAATCACACTGTCTATTGTTTACATATACTTAAGGTGTCAGCTAACCATTAAAGTAATGAAACCATTGCTTTTCTTTCATGATGTTTATACAAGTTTATACAAAAGTAGAATATGGTGGCGTAGTGGTCAGCATTTAGCACTATGCAGTTAGTGGGGTTAGGCTAATTGAGGGTGATTTGCCCATAGGTGGGCGTCTGTTTCGATAACAAATTTTACCATTCTTGAATTCAAGAATTGCAAGAACTGCTCTTTGACATCACCTTGGAGAAATCTTGTCCCATTCTTCTTTGCACACTTGTTTTAATTCAGCAACACTGGAAAACTTAAGCATGAACAGCCTGTTTAAGGTCATTAGAGAGCATCTCGATCAAGTCTGAGTTTGGACTTCAAACTCAAAACCTCCAAAACCTTCATTTGTTTTTATTTGTTTACTTAGTTTGTTTTTTTCTAATCCACTTTCACTGACTTCACCTTGTCTAACAGGTTCTATTTAAGTGATATCCTTATTCATCAGGTCTGGAAGTAATTAGGCCTGGGTGTGGTTACTGAAACTGAACTAACCATTCAGACTGTCTTCCTCAGATATTTTACTCATAGGAGCGACTTTTAAACATGTTTAAGTCATTACTTAAAACTTATTAAAACATATTAAATGTAAATGTCCAACACTGTAAGATTATACTGAATGGTTTTGTGGGGTTTTGTGTTTTGTTTTTTAAGGGGAAACAGACTTACTTTTACAACATGTGTAAACACTCACTCTGCTAGATGAGAAACACTTGGAGGAGCTTCCTGGGAGAGCTGTTTCTGTGTCAGGCATTTAGCCTTTCAGTCATATTTTCAAATTAAGTAACCTAATCAAAAAAGCTTGCTAAAATTGTTCTGAGGGATTTTTGTATTTGCCTTAGACAAAGAGATCACACTGATGAATACCACGAGCGGAACAGGCCTTGAATATGTAGTTGTCCATGGTGTTTTATTATTCTGTGTTTGAGAGGCCGATCGAGTTTAGGGTTTTTATGGAGCTGATCAAAAACAGAATGGCCCAAAGTGATACAGAATTACCCCACAGATGTTTATTTATTCACTAATATCTAATTCATGGGCGTTCAACATGGAGAAGTAGAACAAGTTTTCAAGCACCGTCATTTTATATCATCACAATCAGTTACTGAGTTTTTGAGCGGTCCTTTTGTTGCTGTTGTTTTTATGCCTGGGACTTTGCAATGAAGTATTATTAGCAGAAATTAGAGTCGAGTACTCTTTTCCTTCGCACATGCAGCTATAATTTTTGAAATTTTTGTCAGCTGATTTGAAATCTTCGAAAAATGTTTTTCCATAGCGTCTTTCCTGCCTGGTAAACAGTCGTATCTGTCAAACTAGTGTGTAACAAAAGCTTTCTGTTGAAACTCTGAACTCTCTAAACACAAGCTGATATTTTTCTTAGACTGGAGAAAGCACATCAAGAGCCAAAGGCCATACGTATGCAACATGTTTTCATCCCCGGGCATCACATCCCGACATTCTGTGAAATCCTGCTTGCGTCACAGAGACAAGGTGTCCTTTGGCTCTCATGCCTTGAGACAGTGTCTGCATTGATATTAAACGCAGGGAGAGAACAGCCTCTTTTTAGGAACCAAAAACGTAGCAGCAGGCTGAAGCAGTGATGGTGGAGTGCCTTGAAGGGCTGGTCAGCTACAAGATTACAGTTCATGACCTGTGTGGGAGGTTTACACTTTGTTTTCCTCACTTTTTACTTTCACTTTCACTCACTGCTTGATTTGGCTTGGCCACCACATTTTTTGTATTGCTGCCTCTGTATGCAACCACAGTCAAGGTGTGATTGACGTGTCAGTCAAGTCTACAATCAAGAGAAGCCTTCACAAATGGAAATATAAAAGGTTTATGGTACAAACAATGGGTTACACTCAACAACAGGAAGATCAGACTAGACTTTGCCAGAAAATATTTAAAAACAAATCTCCTGCACAGTTCTGTAAAAACTGATTTGGACAGATGATCAGGATGTCCTAAAACTCCTTGAAAAGTCTTTAGTTGATCCAAATTGCTGCAGCAAGAGTCCTGACAGAGACTAGGAAAACAGAGCATAATTCTTCTTCATTGGCTCCCTGTTAAATCCGTATCCTACTCATCAGCTACTTGAATAATGTCTTGAATAATCAGGCCCCATCTTATCTTAATGATCTTATAATACCGTATCACCCCATTACAACTCTTTGCTCTCAGACTGCAGGCTTGCTTATGGTTCCTATAATATTTTAAAGTCGAATGGGAGGCTCCCAGTTTGGATTCAGGAGACAGACGCCCTCTCTACTATTACCATTAGGTTTAAAACTTTACTTTTTGATAAAGTATATAGTTATATAGGCTGGATCAGGGATTCCCATGATGCATTAAGTGATTCTTCTTCACTCACCTTTTTCACTCACTATGTGTTAATGCACCTCTTTGCATTTAATTATTTGTTATTATTGATCTCTGGCTCTCTTTCCAAGCATGTCTTCTGTTCTGTCTTCATCCACTGATCCCCAGTCGTTTGCAGAAGGCAGCCGCCCCTCCCTGAGCCTGGTTCTACTGGAGGTTTCTTCCTGTTAAAAGGGAGTTTTTCCTTCCCACTGTCGCCAAAGTGTTTGTTCATAGGGGGTCTTATGATTGTTGAGGCTTTCTTTGTTTTCTTTGTGTTAATCGGGGCTCAAGAGTTGGCAGAGTCCGACAGTCTGGTCGTTGTGTCCTTGGGCAAGACACTTCACCTGTTGCCTACTGGTGGTGGTCAGAGGGCCCGGTGGCGCCAGTGTCCGGCAGCCTCGCCTCTGTCAGTGTGCCCCAGGATGGCTGTGGCT